GCATGCTCCTGTAGGCCGTGTCGGCGATGGCGTAGATGTGCGGCGGCATCTCGTGCCTCTTCTTGCCCTTGTACATGTCAATGATCTTCTCGGAGTAGATGGGCAGCTGCTTGTAGGGGTTGATCACAACGCAGAAGAGACCCGAGTAAGTCTGCAAGGGAATTCAGAGAAGAGCTGGACTTAACATCCCACGCCCTGTCCAGGCTGGGACACACGCGCACCGGCTGCATCCAATTACTGCCATTTTAGTGAGCAGCGCTCCTCTGTGTTCAGGGTAACAAATGAAGCATTCTGAATGTATGTCTGTGGGTGCTTTCCAAGTGCACAAATCACTGTTTCCAGTAAGTGAGCTGCTGGAAAGTCGGTGAATTTAGCAACCTGTAGAAACACCATGATCTGATGTTAGAGCTCCTTAACTTCAGTTATTTTCAACATATAATCCATACCCTTATCACACACAAGGGTATGGTGACAACTGTAATAATTTTATATATAATATAATATATAAATTTATATAATTTTATTTTTTTTATATGTGTATTTTCTTATCAGAATATGATATAAATATCCGCTAAGGTAGGCATCAAATTTTGTAAACTGGAATCCTGGGTAAGAAGCTTGGATTGATGTTTGAAGGTTTTTTTAAAAAAAAGTTTCTATGAATACCGTGTAACACTGATGACTGATAGGAGTCCTTAAATAAAACTGCTCAAGTTCCAGATGCCTTGAGAGACTAACCATGCCTTCACTGAATGACAGTTTCCGCAGGAAGCTTAAGGAAAAATGTGGGTTTTTTTAGAATTTAATGGAAGTATTAATTTAAGTATATATACATAAACAAGAATACTGACTGCCAGCTCATAGGTGTTAATCCATTTATTTTAAATTTTTAAAGAATTATTATATTTTTCAATTTTTCTTTTATTTCAAAATATTCCAGGTATTGACCTGGACCAGAAATTATACCACACGATAATAGATAAAGAGCCATATTTCACAAGCAGTTGCTAAAAGTAAGAAATTTTCAAGGGTATTTAATTTAAAAAAGAAAATTTAAACCCCCACAATTTAAAAAAAAAAATAACAAAACAAAAACAACCCAAAACACCCAAGTTATGAGAACATAATGTCAGGACTATTGTGATATTTAAACTGGCCTATGGGGAAAAAAAAAATAAAATAATGGAATTGTGTAGGCAGAAGCGGTTTGTAAAAAAAAAAAAAAAAAAAATTATTATTATTATTTATTTGATTTTGTCGCCGTGTGTGTGAAGGAGAGCTCTGCGGGGTGCAGCTGCTGCCACCCTCAGCCCGGGGCTGTGTCCCAGCGCTGCTGGAGCTGCCCCTGCTCCCGGGCAGTGGCACCGGGAGCCTCCGGGCACGAGGATTTCCCTTTCCTGACCATAATAGGCAATGGCCCAGCACGGCCCGGCACAGCCTGAGCACTTTATATGGTATTCAGCACTCGGGGCCAGAGCCTCAGCTGCGGGCTGGGGGCTCCAGCTGCGCACGAACATCTGGGCTGCTCCTGGTGCTGATGGGCATCTCCACCAACAGCTCAGCTTGAGCCTGTGTCAGCACAGCCCAGGAAAACCCAGCTCAAATCCTCGCCAGCTCTCAGCATCCCCGGGCTAAACCCTCCGGTGTGGAAGGCAGGGAATCGCTGGGCTGGATTTTCACTGACATGGGATGTCAGAATGAAACTGTGCTGCTCGTGTCAAAATGAATTTTAGTGTTGCCAGGATAAGGCACTTGAAAAGTGACAGGTTTAGCCTAGAACAGCCACCAAGGCACTTACAGAAAGGACAAGACATTTTTTAACAGTATAAATAGATTTACTGTACACACTCAACTAATCATCCCCACCCAAGTAAAAAAATTAGGAGAGGAAATCAAGGAAATTATTTAGTCCTCTCTTCCCTGAGATTTCCAGGCATTCCCTGATTTGCCACATGCAGGGCTGTTTGCACAGCCAGGCACACAGTAACATACCTTTGAAGAGCTAATTTGGAGGCACAAGAGGCAGGCTATTAAGGCAGAGCAGAAGCTGGAGCTGAGGAAGTTCAGGAATCCTCATTTCTAACTGGACTGTGACTGTTATGATCTGTCACCTCAGGAAATTTAATGAAGCCCTCTTATTTTGGCTGATTGTACCTCTAAGTGTCTGCTTTGCAAGGAATTGGGGGAGCTAGATTAGTATAGATGATGTTTGGATACCCTAAGTGTGTGATTGAAAGTGAGGGCACTGAATCCTTCTCCCTGGGGCACAGCTTGTCCAGAGAGGGGACTCCCAGAGGGTCTGGAGGAGGAACATAATCTGAAATATTTTAGGGGAACTTCCATGGGAGCGCTGACCTTGTGTATTCCTCAGCCAGCTGCTGCTGCTGGGTATTTACAAGAGACTGGCACAAATACACATCTGCATGGTGAATATCTAGGTTTGGGCAGAAGACTCCAGTGCAGTTCCAATATGCATATTTAGATTTAGGCACCAAAGAGAGCATTTTTCACTGTTAAGTGAAGACTGAACAAGTAGTGCCCATGAATACCAGAAGGAACTTGATTCTACTCTCAAATCCACTGAAATTACATTGCTGTGCTTTTCATGTTTATATAATAATTTTTGGTGTAATTTGTGTGTGGATAAAGCAGATTCTTTTTCTTCTGAGCAATGTGAAATATGAGTTAGTTGCTCATGTTTCTTCTTGCCCTTCTATCTTAATTATCTGTGATGAAGCAAAAGGCCAGGGTGTTTTTCTGGAGTACAGTCACCCTGTAAATTTCTGCACTGAATCTTTCTTTTAAATAATATTTAAAGTAAATGCAAGGGGGAGATGAGTTGTTTTTTTCCAGCTGGATTGATTATTTTTCTTTAGCAGATTTGGGAATCCCCATTTGCGTCAGTGATGCTCTGGAGAGAAAAATGTTGAGGTCATGTTTTCTTCAAATGTGTGGGACTCCAAGGGATGCAAATTAGGCAAGGCATGGCAGAGCCAGGAGATGGTTGTTTACAGTTGGTTTTGGAAGTGGGTGAGACTCAAATCCTCTTTAGAGGCCCTCTCTGTTTTTAAAAAGATATGACAACATCTAGGGCAGTGCTTTGTAAAGCTGGGCAGTTTCAAGCAGGTTTTTCTTACTGAAAATACAGATAACTTGTTGCAGTACAAGTAAAATTAATGTCTTTGAAACTTTTACCATTTAAAATCTAGTCTCTTAAGAAAGAAAACCTAATTTCAGGTACTCTTCCATTTTTGCCTCAGTGAAAAACTCTTTGATTTCTAATTGCATTATCCACTCTTAGAAATTAATTTCCTCTTTGTGTAGAAAGTGAAAATTCCATAAACAAAATGGAAACCCTGGAACAGCTATTCAGAATGTTGCTGAGAACAAAAAAGAAATACCCAATCCCCCATTTTATCCCACTAACCTTCTCCTAATTATTTTAATTCTTGCAACAATGCAGAACGCTTTCAGGAAAAGTCTATTTTGATCATTAAGGCTGCATGTTCTGATATAATAGCATGTGGGTCCAAATGTTCACCTGCAAACTTAAAATCCAATAAACTCAAATAACGAAAAGATGGGAAGTCTAGCTTCTTTCAGGAACTTGATAATGTGCATTTTAGTACATTCCTGAAGGAAAGATTTTGAGCTTAGCTCTTTGAAGTTATGCATAACATTTAAGTAGTTCCTTTGTTGCAGTCCATATAACTATCTTATTTTCTGCTTCATTTCCTACTTTCCAATTTAGCATTCCTCATATTACTAATAAGACATGGACTACTGTTTCAACTTAAGCTCTGTACTTTCACTCATCAGTGATCTGTCATGCAAGTAAAATTTACATAGATTGAAACTGTGGATAACTTTTCTGCAGCACAACAGAGGGATCCTTCATGTAAAATCAAAGATAATGGCTAAATTCCTTGGAAAAGTTTTGGGCTTCCTTACTGTGCTGTTTGCTAACTGTTGATGTGGATAGATTACAAGGTTATCCATGTCAAAATATTCTTGTGTTAATGTACTTGTGAGGACTGAAAGCCAGAATAATCTTGCCATAACTCACATGAACATAAAGAAATTCCAATTTGTCCAGGCTTGTCTGATCTATAACTTGATCAACATGAGGGACAAAAAGGTTTAGTGAATGCTTGACTTTGCTTCAGTGACACACTGGTACATGCAAGTACTCTTGCCTGAATTCCAGTGGGTTTGTCCCTTTATCCACATATAAGGTTTAACTCCAGCACCACCAACCCAGAACTTTTCAGCTGCCTTTAAGTGGAAGTTTTGCCTGAGAAAAACTGCATGATTTGCCTTTTCTGTATGCTCTTTTTGCAAGTTACTTGAAAATTGTTAAGTTTACATTTAATTAATATAAGAGTCCCTATCATTTTCCCCCCACCCTGAACAGCAGGACTCAGGTTTTGTTCACCTATCAGAGAGTTCCAAGCCAACAATATTCTTTCGGAATCTATAAATTTTGTGGAAGAAACCTTCATATGTTTTAATTTAGTTAAGAAGCAATTATCAAAGAAGCAAGAGTGTCATGGGGAATAAAGTGAATTTAAAATATTTTTGGGTTAGGAAGCTGTTACTGGGGGTTAGTATTTGCATGGCAGTGTTACACAAGGCCTGTGTCCCAGACAGTGGCTGGGATCCACCTCCTTGCTGATGGGACATGGTCACATGCAATAGGAAATGCTCTTTGTGTGTGTTTGGGTCTACTCACATAAATTAGACCTGAGAAGTATCTCTCCCTTAGATTGTGCAGCACGGAAGCTTCATTGAGGCAAGTCAGCTCTGCCATGTCCTCCACTTTGGAGAACTTTGGAGGGTTCATCTTCTGGATGTCATCCTTGCTCAGTGTCACTTTCTTTCCATTTTCTGCCAGTTCAACGACCACCTCATCCCCTTTTTCTTCCTTGATACTTGCTGCTTCAAATCCATGTTTCTCTGATGGAATCCAAACCAGTTTCTTTGCTGACCAGTCAGCCTGGGCAAGTGGGTTGTTGATGAAGTTTTTGTCCACAAAGAGGAATTTCTCATCATCGCTGAGAGGTTTTTGAGCCATTTTGACTCAGCAGACACCTGTTGAGGCAGGAAAATATTCTGCTTTAAAGGGATAAAGGAAGGCAAATGTGGAGATGTTCCAAACAAGACACATTTGCCAAATCCTACTGCCATGCAGTAAGTCCAAAGCACCACAGGTCTCATGTCCTATCTCACACTTCCATGTGGATACTTAGAGCCTGTGCAATGGCACAGTCAGAACTGCACCAGGACCACCAGCTGAACACCTCCCTGCAGCCTCAGCTCTTGCCCATCACAAAGTTAATTGATTTCAGACAATTATAATATTTCCCATCACCCAAATGCTGTTGGGTGCATACTGAAATATCAGTGCAATAATGAAATAAACAGGAGAAGAATGATTCCCAGGCTGTGTTCCAGCAAGGACAGAATTTAACCTTTCTTGCAAAGGACTATTTCCAATCACTTAATACCATTTCATTTGGAGAAGAATAAGATTAAGACAAGGTCAAGAGAAAAAGCAGAAAACAAATGTTGTCAATACTGCTGGTGAAGGAGAAGTAATTTAGAGTTAGCCTCTCCCCATGGGTCAGGCAGTAGGAGCTGGTCATTTATGAAGGGTAAATGTTTATCACGTGAGAGAGAGGAAATGAAACAAACCTGGAAATTGCCTCAGCTAAAAGATACTCTGAACCATGATGCTCAGACTGCTCAGGCTGAGGAAGATGCAGACACTGCATCTGTGTCATGCAGTTGCACATGGATAAAGCAGCTGGGTGTATCTGCCCCACAGCTGAGAGCCAGGGGAGAGTTTAGGCTGCTTTGCACAGTGCTGAGACAGGAGACAGCTGATCTCCTGCTCTGGCCACTGAAGTTTGGATGTGGCTGCAACATCAGTGCTGACAGTGCTGGAGCTTTGCAAGTGTTCTGCTCTGTCCCATGGGGGCACAGGTCTAAATAAAGGAAGGAGGACACAGAGGATTTGTGGTTTGCTCCAGGGCAGAAAGAGTGTGCTGCTTGGGAAACCTGCTGTGCAGTGGAGCGGAGAGGAGAGCTGGGGAGGAGCTACAAAGAGCGTGTGCCCAAGAAAAACATCTCTAGGAGACAGAGGCTGTTTCATTTCCTTATTGAGAATGAATTTAATATTTACAGCAATGAAACAAACATGAATCTGGAGGGAGCTTTGAGAACTGACTGCTAAAGATGTCAACCCATAAGCAGGACAATATTTGTAACAACCAAGCTCTGTGGTATGTAGCCAAATGGACACCCTGTGCTCTGGGAGTATCAGAGCTTGGTTTCCAAATATTTGTCCTTGAAGCCTTCCCACAGATTAAGGTTTTTTTGCAAGGCCACACTCTCTGAGGGGTCTGAGAAGAAAACATGGGTCATGCAGAAGGTGACATAAAGTTTAAAAACAAAACTAGGATTTTTAGAGGTGCCTAAGAAGGCTAGATGATATCCCACTGAAATGCAGTGGAAATTTAGATGCCCCTCTAAACTTCTTTGACAATTGTCTTGTTTTAAAAAAAAAAAAAGAAGCTAAATGTGCTTGTTCTAGAGCCTTGCTTGGAAATCCCAAAGAGGAAAATTCTCCCAGATAATCCATGAAGGTGCAATGTGTGAGGGAGACCTGAGCACTGGCCCCTGAGCAGCGTTCCTGCTGTCGAGGCTCTGTGAGGGAGCATCTGTAGGATGTGGCCCTCCGCTCGCTCCCAGGAGATTCTTGGAAGAGAGCAAGAGGAAACTATTTGACCTCTGTGTGGATTAAGGCAGAAAATGCTCCCTCGCTGCCAAGAGGGCTGGTAGAGCGCACAGTTCCAATAATGGAGATGGTATTCTCTGCGGCTGAGCCCTCCAGCTGGCGGCCGGGGGGAAGCTGCTGCCCCGGGGAGCTGTGGAAGCGCTGCCCCATCCCCAGAGCTGCAGCTCCTGGGGCTCTGCGAGCCCTGGCTACAGGCAAGGCACGTTCTGGCCCAGCAGTGCAGCAGTGGAGATGGGGATTTCAGCCCATCCTACGCCCAGAGGAGAGCTACGTGGCCGTGATGAAGCAGCAGAAAGGTTGGATAGTGCTGCCCATGGCTAAATGCCAAGTGACAGAACTTTTGTATCTATAGCAATTAGGTACTGCTGTCAGAAACACCGAAAGTGGGACTGAACTGCAGAGCTGAGCTTCCTGGGGACAAATCCTGCTATTCTGAGGCTGCCCAGAGAAGATGATGATGGAAATCAAGCTGCCAGATCATCCTGACCATCCGCCTCAAAAACCCAACTGTAGCTAAAACTGTCGGCCTGCTACAAAACATGTCACAGTGGAACATCCCAGAGTTCTGCTGCCCAAGGACAGAGGAAAAGTTCCTTTCTTTGTTACAAGCTAAGTCAAAACCATCTCCCACAGATTATAGCATGAAACTGAGAGCTGGTCTGTCTGTATTTGACTACATTCTCCTACTTTTTCCTGTATGTACATAGCAAGGTGCTGAAAGTTTGAAATTCAATCTTTTTTCTAAGCAAGATCCATTTGGAAGGCATATAAGGTGGAATGAGCTGCAGAACTTGGAAATACATCTTCTTATTCCCTAGATCCAAACACTAGGACTAGTTTGAATAATTTGGTAAGAATAGATCCCCTACAAGAATTAGTGAATAGACAGTCTGAGCTGGATCCCAGAACTCCTCTGAAACACAATGAGAAGAAAACATGGATTTATGTGAAAAGAACTTTTCATGACTGAATCTCTGGAATCTAAGGATAACATTTTAGCAGCTTCTGAGTATCACTGCAGTAAAAAACGAAATGCACTTATGATGTGTGGATTAATGGCTATTAATAATAGAATTAATTTATTAATGTGCACTATTCATTTTCATTATAAAGGAAGGTCTTCCATCTGAATAAAAGGGGTAGAATATAAGCTCCACAAACTCAACTAAATTTGTCCTAGTGAGGACTAATGAGCTGCTAATGAGATGCTGAAATTTTCTGATTAATAATTGGCACTATATCTTCTGTTCCATCTCTGATCAGCACTGCACTGCACTGGGCCAGTATGTGATTGGTACTGGGGAAAAGGCCAAGGGGAAGGACTCCTTACTGCCTGCTGAGAACGTTCCCTGGGAAGGCAGAATTGACCCCCTAGCCAGTTCCTGGGTTTCACCCACAGGACTGGCTGGGAGAAACAGAGAGCCCTATCCATGTGCCAGAGGTGTTGGGAGTTCTCATCCATTTAGCACAGGTCACGTACAAGAGAATACACTTTACACACAGAGGTGTAAAGAATTCCCTGGGAATGGGAGAAGAAAAAGCAATCACAACAGTACTACTGATATGAAGTTGCTTGCCTTAGAATTGTGCCAGATCACACCTAACCTGACCCATTTGTTGTACCTGTCTAGCCTGCAAACATCCATGGACACTTCCACAGCTCACTCCATTCCTCTGTCTGCAGCCCCACTATGGAGATATCTGGCTGATCTTCACTGTCTTTTCCCTTTTCATGTTAATGACAGAAGTTGAATGCTGTCTTTATAATAGTTTATCCTGAGTATATTATTTCAAGGATGAAATATAAATGTTCTCAGGAAGTCCACTTTAATTAAAAGGTTATTGGCCAAATAGAATTGCCTCCTGACTCAGAGCTTGGAGAGACTGCTTTTCTCCTAAGGAAAAGATAAAGGACACTTCTCCCTTCCTCTGCAGGATGTGCATGTCAATATAAAGCCTTATCACATCTGTACAGGGAATAATTATTGCAACAGAGGAACATATAAGCAATTATTTTCAGAAACCAAGTCCTGCTCTCATGAGTATTTTCTGATGGAAGAGTGAAGCAGTAACCTGCTCTTGACTCAAACTGCATTTCTTGGGCTACAGTAATTCTTGACTATGATCTTTCCAGTTTCCTTATCTTTTACCTTTCCAGTACTTAACTGAATCATCCAACTGAGCACTGCTTGGAAAAAAAGATAATCGAAAGATAATCTAGGGGTGAATCCTAACCTTGTGACCTTCTTTTGGGAACTGGAATTCCCCAGCATTGACTGCTTTATCATAAGCACTGTTATCAATTCCTCTTGGCCTTTCACCTCTTTTTGGCAATGCATTCTCCATACAGCTCAATCAGATTGTCTGTAAGCGCCTTATTTTATAATAAAGTCTTCTCACCTTTGTTAATGTGAGTTACAACATACAAGTTGCAACTCTGACTAAACATTTGATTCATTTTCTAATTTTCAAAGTCAACTGGCCCTAGTTATTGCCAGCATTTTAAACTGTAAAAATCAGAAAAGAAGGAAAAAAAAAGGGATAGATTCCCTTTATCTGGAAAATTCCAGCTATTTCAAATTCTTGTAGATGGCATTCTGTTAACTAAATCAAATTGATGGTAATTCACAAATAATCCATAATTTAACTGTATTTTGCCCAAGTTGGAAAGCTGTCTCTAGCTTTTGGCTTCTCCTAAAATTAACATACTTAAAAGCCATCAGATTTGCAACTACTAAGTCTCTGTGATTTCCAAAGCATTGGGATCTCTGCATACATCCCCACGCTGCCTTTTATGGAGATGTTCTGCTCAATACCCGCTGTTCCACAAAAATGTAATGATAACAAATTCAAAACAAATACCTTTTAGGGACTAGTGTGTCAATTGCAAATGAGATAATAAAATTCATTGTTTACATCCAAGCGAGCAGGGCCAGCGCAGAATCGGGCACTAAACTGAAGTGACAACTTAATCAGAGCTTTTCTCTCGGGGGGTTCATCAGTTCAGCCCCTGCCTGAGGGAGGGGGAGCTTGGGGGGTTCAGCAAGTCAGCCCACCCCGACAATCCTGCAGCAAACTGCCTGGCAGGGCAAAGCTGGCACTGAAGGACAAGGTGGGCTTGTTTTTCAACAAGTGTATTTTAGAAAAGGTTTTACTAATATGTATGTAATAGATAACGACAAGCCTTCTGATTTCTCTTATACTGAAAATATCTCATGATGCTTCTTAATTATGCAAGCATATATGCCTTTCACATAAATATCAACATTTTCATAGGTGTGCATGCACACAGACACAGACATACACACACATACAGGTGAAAGAAGCCCGTGAACCACTGGGATGGTGCTGAAGCTGCTTTCTGCACTGCCATCTACTGTCGTCTTAATTTACTTATGGGATTTTCTTAGAAGTTTGTTGCTTTATTTTCCATTTCTGAAAAAGGCACGTCACCTTTGAAATTACTGTAGTTCAGTAAATTGTCAGATTAGTTTTGCTTCAAATTTGTTCCCCACATATCAAAAGCATATATATGTAATGGTGGGACATTTATGTCAAATTCTTCTAATTTTAAAGCATTTTTCCTGTTTAAAGAACAAGTTACTGATGAACTGATTATTTTATTCGGTTGCACTTCCTTTCAGCAGTCCTTTATTAGGACTGAGAGGTTAGAACACTTACAGAAGATCAGCAGCTCAGGTTTTTGGTTCCCAAATGCACGAGTGGTGGTTGCCTGCAGCAGGTTCCTGTGGCCACCTGCACTGCCCTGCACCTTGTGGCAGCGCTGCTGCAGGCTCAGAGCCCGGCTCCTTCTCTGCAGCCGGTGCCTTTCAGGCTCAACCCAGCAATGGCAGTGTTAGCAGTGACTAGAGGCAGCCTAGAACACCTTTGCCCCTTTCAGGCATGCACAGTCTCTATGCATTTCAAGCAGAACCCAGCCAGTAACACAGAAACCAGGATAAATCGCCTGAGCACGTCCAGTAGGTCTGTTCCCCTCCCCAGATTAATGCTCTGAAAGCGTTTGCAGAGCAGAGTAAGAGTTCCCATGCCAGAGTCCCCATCCCAAAGTGTGAGAGCCCCCAGCCAGTCCCCAGCAGGGAGCTGGCCCTGTGCTACTTACAGGTGTCCAACTGGGTGAGCAGAGTGAGTTGGAGATACAGCCACCAGCCGGGACAGCCCAAGTCCTTGCTGCCTCTGCAGCCTCCCTATATAGAGGAGGAGAATCTTGTCAGTGGGGAGGGGCCCTGGAAACCACGTCCTGCTGGAAAATCCTTTTGGTACCTGGCTTAAAAAACACAGCCTGAGCCAAGGACCTCGTTCCCAGCAGGGCCTAACCCTGGGCTGTGGCCCCTGCCCTGAGCCACTTTTTAGGGAAGCAGGCTGATTCCTGGCTTTCAGAAAGATGTAAGAAGGGGGTGCTCCTAAATCACAAGTTCAGGGTTTCACCCTTTTTCCCTGATGTTTGACAAAGCAAATGGACCTTTAACTCCTTCCTGCCTTGGCAGTATCCCTGGCCCTCATGGCCCTGTGCCTGGAAGGACAAAGCACAGGTCACGGGCCCATGTGGCACAGGATGTTTCCTACCCACTGTATTTTTCCACAGTGCATTTTGTTGGAGCTAAGTTCCTGAGTTCAGGGGTTGCTTGGGCAAAGAGGGTTATTCCTAACATAGCAGGACTGTGTGGGTGGAGGTGGCTCTGGGTCTCCCTGTGTTTATGTGACATTTGGAGCCTGTGGCTGGTTTAAGCCTCCTTTGCCCCTGGGAGGTGAGAGAGTTGTTTGCCACCTTCCCAGCAGATTTGCCAAAGTTTCTTTTGCAATCCAGTGTGCAGCTCAGTTCTTGAGAAAGGGCTGTCAATACTTGCTCATATATAAGAAATACCTCCCTGTGTCTGTAAATGCAGAAGAGAAGTGATGAGCTGGGGGGACACAGTCCCCGGGATGCACGGACAGCGCAGGGAGCAGGCACCGTGTGCTGGCAGCGAGAGGAGGACAGGGTGCTGGGAGCCAGAGCTGCAGGGGTTAGGGAGTGATCTGGTCCTCATCAAACCTGCCTCACACCCCCCAAACCTTCAGTCCCCAGCTGTCCCTCCTCCTTCCTGAGAAGCAGCCTTGTGCTGTAGGACCTGTGGATGGAGATATCCCAAAAAGGGAAAGCTAGGATCCTCTAGGAATTCCCATCAACGTGCCAAATACAAAATACTGAAACAACCCCCTCTCGGCAACAGACTAAATATGGTGTATACCCAAAGGATCAGAGCACAGGCCTGAGTGAAATTATTTCTCTTGACATCAACAGCTCTGTCTTCTCTGGAAAATAAACCCTCCTGGGGAAGATGGATGGGATTCATATTGGTCTCATCATCCTAAAAAAATACCTATGAGGGGAGGCTGGGCTGAAAACCTCTGCTGTCATTGGGTCGGGAAATTGCAGGTGTGATAGACTGTAGCCCTTTCTTCTAGTTCTGGCCAGTGGTGAAAAGATCTGGACAAAGAGGAGAGAGGGAAAGACCCCTGGGGTTGCTGCTCTGCAACATTTCAGGAATATCAGGTGCAGGGTCAAGTTTGGGCCTCAGCTGGAGAAGAGCAGATTTGCCAGGGCAGTGACACAGTCCCAGAGGTCACAGACAGTCCTGCAGAGGGAGGGTTGGGGTCTGCAGTGGTGTGGGGCTGCCACAGAGACGTGCAGAGCCTCCCAGGACCCAGCAGCGCCTTATCGGACCTGTGCATGTGTGACTTTGTTGGAGCAAAGCCAGGCAAATGATCACCACAAGATAAATCCAAGAAACTTGTCCTTGTTAGCAGAAAGTTCCTCACAGGGCAGGGTAATTCACCCTATTTTACTTTTTTTCCCCTGCAGTTTCTTGATTGCAGACTTGGCTTTTAATTAGAAACACGATGAAATGCAAGGGAATCCTCTGAAAAGTATGATCATTTTAACATTCATCAAAGCTATCCTAAGAAGTTCCTTTTAAACACATGCAGCTGTTTCACAAAACCAGACACATTATAATAGTAGCTTAAAAAGGAGTGGAAATTATTCTGGCTGGTCTGCAAACCACTGCACACGCAGGCTTGCTGCCTGAGGAGGGAGTTTAACAGCAGCAGTGCTGGAGGGTGATATATGATGTGACATTAAACGGAGCTGGAAAGTCCAAAAAAACATTACTGCTGGGACTGAAAGAGTTGCACTCTTAAGCCATGTGGGGTAGGAACTGATGAACTGATAAATGTAAGCATGGCTTCCAACCTTCACTTAAAAGCTAATGTAAGAATATACTAATCTGATAGCCTGGTTGGGGGTTCCTGAAAGTTGTGGTGTTTGTTTTAAATCAAAGTTGCCTCAAAATGAAAGCTGTGGATTCCCAGTGGATGATGAGTTTGTGACAAAAAAATAAGCTTTGTTTAAACCCCCTTGATTTGTTTATTTATTTGTTTTAATTACTTTTCTAGGGAAAAAAAAAAAAAGTATTGAGCATGTTCTTACTGAATTTGCACTGTAAATATTGCCCTTGGGAAAAAGAAAGAGCACCCAAGAAGGAAAGAAGTGAACTCTTAGCTGCCTTACCATGGTGTAACCTGAACACAAGAGAGGGGAAAAAAGAAAAGCACAGATGGTGGTGTTAGTTTGTTAAATAAACAATCAGGTAAGCAATTTTTGTTTTGTTTAAAAATGTTTTTGCTTGAGTTTCACCAACCATGTTTCTCTAAGATGACAAATGTAATTAGAACAGGTAATTGTTCAGGTGAATTACCACCTGTGTCAAGCTGTGCCCTTGCAACAGGAGGGACAGTCTGTGTCCAAGCCAGGACAATCAGTCTTGAGGACAGTCTGATGAGGGAAAATACCAACAGCTTGACGTTTGTGCTTAACGCTTGCTGCAGGTGGACAGGTGGAGTCTGTGAAGTGCACAGAGCAGGTCTGAATCAGCTGCTGCTGAAAGGGTGTCTTTGCAAGTGTGAACAAACCTCTTGGGGTTTCTTTTCCTAAAGGTGATTACCCAAGGATAATCACTCCTCCGGAAAACTGATCCAGTGACACCGAGATTGGGTGCCTGACGCGAGGGTGCTCAGGAAGGAGAACGTAACCGACTCCTCAGAGGGAGCTGATAAAGCTTAAAAAAATCTGCCCTGTGCAGGACAGAAACTAAAACCTCTGGAACAGCCCAGCTGCCCTGCAGTCTACAGACACAGTTTGCTCTCATTCGAGGGGAGAGCAAAAATTTGGTCTTAAAGAATTTTTTATTTTTAAAACTTCGATAATGTGCTTGGATAACAAACAGCCTCTTTTAATGGAATTCCCTGCATAATGCTTTTGGTTAATGTTCAATCTCCAACAAAATTCACAAATGCATTTTGCTATTTAAGACTCTAAACTTCTATATGCTTGTAATTTTTTTTCTGTTGTCAGTAGAAAGAGTAAGAACAGTTAATACAAAATATCCCAGGCTGTAATTATGCAACTTCTGAAGTTAAGAAAGTAATTTTTGTGTATGCTCACCTAGGTGGCAATTTCTTTTAAAACCTGAAGCTGTGACTCTAGGACTGTGAAATATTTTGATCTAGATATTGATCTCACCCTAAAATTTTAAGGAATGCTAAGTGCATCCATGTGGGAAAGATTTTACAGTTCCCATTCACCCAGTAGGCAGTCTGACATTAAGAGGACTCGCTGTATGTCAGCATCTTAAAAGACACTCTCATATTTCATGTATTGTCAAGATAAATGCTAGATGATTAATAATATGATTAGACCAGTATATTTTCATAGACATATTTCAAAGCTTTGCTATAAATAAACATCACTGGAAATACACTTTAATTTGCCTTTAGTTTGCTTGTACAATGACTGTACTTTGAAACAAGAGATTGTTTCTAACCCTCAGACGTGGGCTCTGAGGGTATTGGAGAATTAGATGAAATGCAAGTTGCACCCAGAGCAAACAGGCCAAATTCCACCCACCATCCTAACACAGTGTCTGTACAATGCATGAATCTCCAAAGAAAATAGTCCAAAGATTCTGTTTCCTAAAATGCATTTTGTCTCTGATTTCAAACATAAACCTTCACCTCAAAGCTCAGTGAAGGATGTCCTTGTAGCAGCCTCTGCCCTCCTGGCTGTGGAGAGAGGAACCTGCTGAGCTGTGTGCTTGGGAAAGAGCAGCTACCAAACATCCCTTTGCCTTCTTCAGCCTGGGCAAAAGTTGTATTTAATTTCTACCACTAAAAAATTCATTTCCCAGGGAGCTCCATGGCACCTGGGCAGCATCTGAATGATCTATGGTGGGAAGACAGAAAGCAGAAGCAGTGGCTTTGGTTACACTGAAACATTTGCATCACAGAGAAGGTTTGAGCTTTTGTGCTTTCAGAGCCTTTTTCTTTACCCTTGAAAAGACAATTCAAAATCCAAGTATACATAAAAATTTGATCCACTGCTTCATGGGAAAACATTGGTCTAGCACTGAACTTCTAGAAAATCAAATTAACAATTCAGGGATGGCTCTTCAGCGCAGCACCTGAAGGTGACGGAGTGAGCACAGAGCAAACACTGAGGGCACAAACATTCCCTCTCTTGATTCAGTGGTCAGCTGCCATTGCTGCAGAGGACTTACAGATGGATTTGATTGAGGTTTATTTGCAAACACACGTCCTCCCCTCCTGGCAGCAGTCCTCAGACACAAATCAGCCAGCAGGGAGGTGCCAGCACTGCCAGTCACACGGAGGAGATGAGCTCACTGCCAAGGCTTCAAATGGATAAATGCAGCCTCTCTGCAATTCCACATTTGAGTACAGGCTGCTTGGAGAAATAAAAGTATCCCTGCAATGCTAACTGGGTCAAATCAAGATAAAGGCAAAATTTAACAGCGTGTGCAATCTGGGGTCCTTTCAGCTTCACAAAATGAAGGTTCTCTTCCTCTCTCCCCCCCTCCACTGTACATTTATCTAACAGAAAAGATTTTTAAGGACCTGAGTCTAGAGAATTATTTATACAAAACTCCTCTCAGTACACTGGATATATTTAACATTTATGCATTTTGTTAAAATGAGAAGAGAAAAAATAGATGTTGTTTTTATGTACCCCTGTAAGTTTGGCTTTTAAAATAAATTGCCATTTCAAAACATGTAGATACCTCAGCTAAAAAAGAGTTCTGGGAATCAGTATCTACTATCAACTTTATTTTTAGCTTTGCCTTTGAGTTTCATGTTGTTTGGGAAAAAACCCCAGAAGTTCCTTCTCCTCCCAATATACCCAGTGTTACACCGTACAATTTATAGCAACTCCAGATGGAAAAAACTTACTCTCGTTTGTTTGCTGGCATGAAGATAAATATAGTCCCCATTTCCGGAGAATTAAAAACAACTATCCCTCTAAATGACAGCAATTTTCTATTAGAATTTCTTTTCCCTTACTTATCTGAAAGTTGCAGCTTCTTTTTACAAAGAATGATTAAAATGTTTAGTTTGAACACTCTCAAAATACCACGCAGAATAAAATTGAAAAATTTTATTCAGAAACACAGGTAAAATACACAAGGATGTAAGTGCAGAAATTATAAGTTATTATATAAAAATGTATTGGATAAATGCAGTATATTCAGGTGCAATTCTGAACACAGGATTAAATGCAGAAATTATAAGTTATTATATAAAAATGTATTGGATAAATGCAGTATATTCAGGTGCAATTCTGAACACAGGATTTACGAATGTGAGTCCCTATACAGTTTTCCTTCTATCAGCACTGGGGAAAGACAGCTTTGCTAACATTTTTTAAAATTGACAGTAAGTATGACCTTGTCACACTGTCTCATGAGTAGATGTTACAATCTAAAATGGTCCCACTGGATTTATTAGAGAAATTTATGCAATGAAGAATATGCTATTATTGATAATTACCAATTATCTACTACTGATGCACAATATGATCATAGAGAACCAAGGCAATTTTACAAATAAATGTTTCCATGCAGCTGTAGGAGATAAAAGCTTTGCATCACTCATGTATTCCACCCCTTTTATCAGGATCCCCAGTCTGCTGGAATACTCACACATCTAAATAAACAAGATGTTTTCTAAAGTGAAAAGCAAGTTAGATGTTAAATAGGAGAGTTGGCAGGTTGAGTTTATGAATGGACTTGATTACCTGAATATGCAGCCTAATGGAAAGAGCTGGATAATTATTATTTTAAACCTACTGCCTTTAGGTCTCCACTAACATACTCCATAAACACAAGTAGAAAGTAATTTCAGAATACATTTATTTAAAGGTTCAAAGCCTTAAAAATTTTATGTTTTTGTTTAGTTCTAAAAGCAATGTGCTGTTGTGTCTTATGATTAATCCTGAGTTCTGTAACTAACTGTAACCAATTAAATCTCCGTGTGAAGTTATATTGGAGTCAACAGGGCAGGGTGACACTGCAGAGTCGGTAGAAATAAAAGTATACTTTAAAATTCTCCTATACATTCAGTTTGCTTTGAAAATGGCGAAATTTCTGATATGAATAATTGTTTTCTAACAAAAGCAGAGCAGTTTATAGCGGTTTTAGCAGAGAAATTTTGTTTCTTCAGCGCCCTCTTCTGGCAGAAGAAAAACATCATTGTCTCATTGAATTAACTGTTCAAAAACTGTTAGTGCATCTCACCCTTTTCAGATGTCAGTAAGATCTCAGGCTTCATACTTTTGAAATTTTTGGATACAAACCAAACAGTTCATAGTATTAACAAGAGAGAAATAAATTTACACAGTGAAAAATGAAGCAATATGCCAAGCAGACTCTTTAAAGGAAAAAGCTGGACCAATGAACCTTTTCATTCTGTAGCTTAGGTGGTATTAATTGTAACCAGTCCAAAAGCAGACCAGAAAAGGCAAACAAGATTTAGCAGTGTTTAGTACAAAGCAACGAACTTTGGGCTTAAGCTTTTGTGGCAAATAGGATATGAATTATGTTCTCAGAAAAGGTTTATGCCCATGTAAAGAACTGAGAGCTAAGGAGTTAAGAACTTTCTATAGAAATTAGGTTAGACAAGATAAGAAACAGAAATATACCCACTATTTAATATATTTTATTGAGAATTTATGTTAAAATATCATATTAAACTCCTAATATAGTCAGACTGTCTCTAGCTGACCCTTTTCAGATTTGTAATAATACAAGAGAGTACAATTTGGCCAGTTGAACTTTTAGGGAAATGGTAAAGCCATTTGGTGCCAGATGAAAGCAAGCATTCCTTGCACAGGGGAGGAGGTACATGGTGTCCAGCTGCATATTTATGCATGGTATAGGAAATCTAGTCACTGATAAAAGTGCTTCAAAAATGACATTGCACCCACCTTTTTGATTTCTCTCAGCAGGTGGTTTGCCAAGGCTCTGCTTTGAGTAAGTCAGCAAAGACGCTTTTGGAAGGATATTCTGGGTACTTTCTTCTTTACCACCATGTAAGAAATGAGAGAGAATTCCATACAGGAGAGGTCTGCTTAAGGGAGAAATTACAAAAGTATTCTATAAAGTCTATGAAATATTGAACATTAAAATATACAGCCTTCTCCCAGGACTTCTCAGATCTTAGTACTTACTTCTACAATCTGTACTGACATCTTTAATGACTTAAAACACATCCAAATATCATTAAATAAATAAGCACAGACCTAAGCTCCCCCTGAACACCAACACTGCCCCAAAAAGCTCAGACTAAGAGACACTGTCCACTGAACTCCAGCTCCCCTGGCAGGTGATGAACTGGAGTGTGTTTAGCACAGGAGCACAAATCCACATTCTCACCCATGGATCAGGACCCACACACTCACATGAGATCAGACTTTGGTGGACTATAGGCCAGTCCACCAGGGTACATCTCAAACTTGGCTCTTCCTAAGCAGCTGACAGGTTCAGACAGCACAAGGTACGGACAATGCTGAACCTGTCTGAACCTGCTTCAGCCCTCAGGTCAGTAATGCAGTTTTATTGAAGCAGTTTTATTGATTTTGTATCTAATCTCACAGTAATCTTTTTATTGCTCCGCACAGCAACTCCCAGATATGCAAAAAGCAGATCTACTTTCTGTAGAAAGCAGACTGTATTGGTAAGACAGCTGTGTTTTGGTGTGCAAGGGCACTATCTGGAAAATGCCACCATGTTGGCAGAATTCAGTGTTAGTTTGAAGTATGTCTGAAAATGGCCCCATGTTTGGCATCGTGAAGCTGAATCCAGCATATTAGAACAGGCGTGGGATCAGCCATATTTCAGTTGGTGAGAACATTTAAATGTGATTTATAACTACACTAAAGAGAAAAATATACTGGTATGCAGAATATAGAATATACTGTGCATTCCAAAATTCCATCTTACACTGATTTTCCACTTGCATCTTCAACTATATTCAGCTCTCTGGCAAGAAATTCTCTATCCAAGGGCACTTCAGGCTGGCCGGATTCTGGAAAACAAAATCCCTGAACCTTAAGACTTAAGTAAGAAAAGAAAAATTGGTAAGAAAAATGTCACCAATTAGCAGAAGACTTCAAAAGATCAAGAGAGCAACCACCTCCCTTTTAGACTATTAATAACTAACAGTGTATTGTAATTCCAGGGAACTCAAGTATTAGGGATTCATACTGGTATAATTTACAATAGCACATTACAATTTGTATCTTCACTCCTAAATAATCTAAGAAGAATATTAAAGAAGTCTTACAGTGTAAAGATGAATTCATCAGGCAAAGAGCTCTTTCTCTAAACTACTACTCTCTGGCATTTCAAGAAATTTGAGTTCGCAGGCTGTTACCAAGTTTTCTTGCTCTTGCATCAACTACTCTGTTAAACAATTTACCTCAAGGGTAAAGGAGCAGAGAGTAAGTTTTCTTGAAAACTAATGAGTGATCTGGCTTAATGCTGAAAGTAGAGCTGTGGAGAGGCTGTTTGCACCGTGTCCATTCCCAAGAGAAGGCAAGGTTATACAGCTTGTCACACTTACTAATTCAATAATATCAACAGAATCATTCATTCACCCAATCACTGATTGCTGTTACAGCGATGACACAAATTGATTGCCAATACCTGCCGTCAGCACAGATGCTGTGTATTTATACTTGTTGTACTCCAGGTACTCCCGAATGAGCTCGTTGATCAGCAGGTTCTCCCGGGACAGCGTCGGCCGCGGCTCGCTCTGGTCATCCAGGGCATTGAACACTTCAGCTCTGATCCTCGCTTTGATTTGGGCAAGAGCTCCTCTTTTTTCCAATGTGTCCTTTAAAACTATCACCATAAAAAGGGGCGTTAAATTAAAGCCCAACGCAGCAATTAATTAGCCCCGATACAAACAGAGTTTGGCGTGTGCCCAGTGCTACAGCGATAAGGCGCCAGCACCCACCACGCTGGTGGAGCCAGGCACGTCACAGATAACAGCTAAGCCTTCAGAAAAGTCACAAACACATATTTTTTTTTTAGTCGCAAGCACACGTTCTGGCAATTTAAGAAGTAGGATGTTACTGCGCCAAGATGCGTTTAATACTGAAGTATACTGAAATACAATCCACAATACATTGTGACGGGGGCAGCGCTGAGGGACGGGAGCCCCCATTAGCGCCCGCGGCAGCTCTGACACCCACCCGGGTGGCCGCGGAAGGTCCGGCCGCCCTCCCGACACATCCCCATCGCCGGTCCCGGTCCCAACCTGCTTTGAGCTCCGCCACCGTCGCCATGGCCGCGCCGGGACCCGGATGGCGCCGCGCGCACTGCGCATGCGCGGGGCTGAGCTGCCTGAGGGGACAGCGCAGGGCTGGGTGGGAGCTCCGTGAGGGGACAGCGGGGCTCCCACCCGGCCCCTCACAGAACGGGATCCCCAAGGGATCCCTCTGCCGCCAGCGGCCCCAGGGAACGGGATCCCCAAGGGATCCCTCTGCCGCCAGCGGCCCAGGTCGTGCCGGGATAGAATAACCTGCATCAGCAGTGCCTCCGTGCTGCCCGGGCAGCTACCGCTCGGTGTCCTGCTGTGCCCGCCCGCAGACCAGCCTCTTCAGCTGGGCCGAGTGCCAGGGTTGCCGTGCTTTCTCTGTATGTTCAGAGGTTGGCAAAGATCGGGGAAGGAAACGTGGAAAATGAGCGAGAATTTCTCCCATGTGTGTTGTGGAGGAGTTTTGCACCGAGTCCCTAGCAGATGTACTGTTGAGTAAAAGGAGTCGCCAAAGCCGAGCTTCTAAAGAAAAGGAGTTGCCAAAATGTAATTCTATAGGGGATGTTTTGCAAGCCTGAGGATCCCTGGCATGTCTGGACGCTTGTGTGTGTGCTCCGTGTTGCTGGGATGAGTCAAGAGTGTTTATTTTGTCAATGCATGAAGTATTTCCCAAAGGAAATGCAGCCGGTGTGGGTGAACAAACTGGATTTGCTATTGTCTAGATGGAGCAGCCTGCTGGGGCTTGAAGGAAGATGTGAGTCGTCTTAGGCAGTAAAGACTAAGATAAGACTTAAGTGTGGGGGTTGGGGAGGTTGTTAGGATTGTTTTGTTTGTTTTTTTTACATTTCCTCTCAAAGTGAATATTTATATGACAGTCTTCCAGAGCATCTCTGATAGAGGTCAATAAATAAAATTTAGGAAAATCAGAAGTGATGGTGAAGTCAATGTGTTTCCTTAGCCCAGCAGTCGCTGTCAGTGAGTCAGAGCAGTGCTTGTGCCTGGCCATCCTGAGCCCGCTGCCCGGATCCCCAGGGCGACTCCGGGGACAAACAGCTGCTTATGTTTAATGTTACAGCATTTTCACAGAATAAACATGTTTCTCAGTATCCTTCCAAACTTCTCCGTGACCTTGTGAGTCACTTTTCCATCACACCTGATTTCCTGTTGATAGTTGTTGCGGTTTTCCACACTGCTTCAATTTCCTATCCTACTTCAATTTGTATCCTACAAAAAAAAGCTCATATAGAATTTTGTGTGGTTCATTTTTCTGCTTGCAAGGGAATCTCCTTTTTAAACAAGATTTCAGTTTCTATTTCTTGTATTAATCAGTGATTTAAAATACGCTGTTACAAGATCGGTTTGTGAAATCCATGTTCAGTGACTTCCTGGTACTCTGGGACCTTGGTTCTGTATTTCTGCAAGTTTGGCCTTGTGTTCGCTCTGGTTTTTCTCCTCCACAATAAATATTTTGAACCTGTTACATTTTTCTTCTGAACTCTTTTGGTTCCTCTCCCATTAATTATTTGCTCTGTATTTTGACTGTGCTTTGGTTTACAATGAAATAGAATCAACTGGAAGAGAACTAGTTTATGGTGGAAATCCAAGAATCATTATTTGAGGAGAAACATCATTGACATGGAGCATGACAGTTGGTAACATTGGGACAGTCTGGGGCTGAAAGAGAAGTATTTGGAACGTGAAACTTAAATTTTGTTAGTCTTTTAGCTTACAGTAATATTTTGAGAAAAACATACGTGAATAAAAATGTATCTTTCTAAACACTCCTCACTTCATGCTTATTTACTGTCTTGCTTATAAAAATAAAGGGAATCATACTTGAAAATTTAGCTGTTTTCTTGCAATACTATAAAGATTTTAACATGATATGAATTAAAGTATGGGTTAAACTGACAAGCTTCTGACACCCAATGCGTGTGTTTTGATCTTTCTGTGATAATTCTGCTCCATTCATCAATGCCGATGCTTACAAAAAAATCTTAGTTAATTGACTTAGGATTCTAATTATTTTTCTGCCAAGGAAACTGTGATTGGAATATCCTGGATATTACTTCTACAACTGTGCTCTAAGTTGTTTTATGTGGTGGCTTATATGTCTGGAGCTCCAGATTTCTTATGGAGTGACTTTCAGACCAGAGTGTTCTGTGTTGGGATCCTGAGGAAGACTTGACTTTTGGTTCTGGACTCAGCTGCTGCTGCTCTTTGACCTGACACCCTGAGAATATGGGGTCCAGGGGGACAGACCAGAAGTATTGCACTGCAGAAGTGTTGGATGGACAAACTGGCCACCACTAGCACAGCTCTGAAACTGCAGCTCTGAAACTTCAGGTGAATAAAGAAGCAGTCTGTGATATATTTTTTGTGTGTATGATGCCTGTTTCTAAGTTATACATTAAAATATACAAGACCTGCCTCTTTTTAACAACTTCATCTGTTACCATAATTGCCCTGGATGTACAAGAGCATTTTAAATTGAAGTTTGTGTGATTAAAGATTTCAGATATTACTGTAGAGTACTATGTAACCACCCTGCTATTTCCTGCAGCATGTGATGCCATTCCTACATATGTACCACCATACTCCAGCTGGTCTATTCTGGTACAGTAGTCAGGCGAGCTGACTGTGGATTTAACTGGTGCATTTTAAATAGGATGTGAAGAGTGCATCGTGAGACACAACCCAGTGCAACCACAGGGCTGTGCAGTTAGCTCAACTACTACGTGTTTTGATGCAAACCTGATTGTGGATGAAGTTGTTTTGGTTCCGTTTGTGTTAGCGAACTTGAACAAGTTTAGGGCATTAAAACCAGTACAACTGGTTCACGCAGAGAAGTGAGCTATTTGAAGATGAGCTTAGGCTTTCCCTGAGGCCTTCCCCTAGGACCCTGCCTTGGCTGAGTCCCGCGGAGCCCGGCTGCCAGCAGGGCGCTGCGGTACCTGTCCTCGGGGGACACGCGGGGATCCTGTTCCCAGGGGCAGAGCCACGGAGAGGGAGCTGCTGGCTCTGGTCCAGCCCGGCGGGCAGGTGCGGTGCGGGTGCGAGGCGCAGGATCCCGGAGGCTGCTGGGGCAGCTGACCCGGGCAGGCGGGCGCGCCTGCGGTGCTCCGGGGCAGCGATTCTGCCCCGGGTACGCTGCCGGAGCGCGGGGCATTTCTGCGTTGTTGAAAGGCACGCGTCAGGCTCTGGCCGAGGCTCCTGGGCCCGTGGTGCTCCCCGATGCGGAGGCGTTGGTGGCCCCGCGGGACGCGCCCAGCCCGGCG